CCGGTCCGTCTGACGCATGAGGATGAAGTCGAGGTGGTACTTCTCCTTCCCCTTGTTGGAGCTCTGGAATGTGTGCTGCACTCCACCTTTCGGTGTTCGGAAGTAGGTGTTCGTCAGGGAGAGTTGGCTGTCTGACGCCAGTCCAAGGAGTCGTTCCCCGTTGTTGGTCATAATGTCGCGTCCGTACGCGCCCATCATCTTGCCATCGCAGCACCCGACTCGCCTCCTACCAGTGCGTGCGTTGGCGTCCATTAGCACCACGAGATGGTCACGGCTGTGAACCTCCCGGATCGCTGCGTCGAGAGCAGTCCAGAAGGAGTCCTTGGCGTTAACATCACCGCCCGCGGTGGTGCGGACAGTTTCCGTGGGGGCGTACCCCACCACGAAAGTTACTCCGCAGGTGCGGCCAATTTGTAGGCGCACCTTCATCAGCCTCGGGCTAATGCACTCCACCGTCCTACCTTCCTCGCCCACACTCTCCCACATGGCCTCCTTGATCGCTCTGCCCACACCGTGTACGCCCCTCTTGTCCTTGGTGCCAGCACGGGCGCCACTCCAGATGATCACGTACCCGTCGTGTGCAATTGAACCTTGCCCCTCTCGTCGGGTCTCCTGAAGTCCTATCACATCACAGCTTGTCGGGGAACAAATCTGCATGACCGTCATCACGTTGTGACCGATGGGGTTCCTACCACTGTAGGCGAGCGTGCGTACGTCCAAGGTGCCGAACGATAGGTCGCCCTCTCGTGCCTTCTTCTTCGCAGCCGCCTTGACGGCCGCTGCGGTCTCGTGTCTCTCTCGGTCCGCCTCGCGTTGCGGGCGTGGTTTCTTCCGTATTTTCCGAGCGGCGAGTTTCCTCGCATCAATCCATCTCTGCAGAGCTCGGTTCTTGCCTATGGTGTTTTGACGAGGAGGGTGCAGCACTCCCTCCCCGCGGTGCCCGCGGTGCCCGCGGTGCCCGCGGTTGTCTCCCTTCTCTCGCGAGCGGTGCTTACTGACGTGGTGTTTACGAATCTCTCTACTCCTCCAGCTTCGTGGGCCATGTTTCCGCGACGGTGGTTGCCAGGTGCAGTTTGCCGCTTTGCATTATTACTGCCGCGGGAACAAACAGTGTCCATACACACCTTTCGCCACTACCACCGTCTGTGCATCCTCACCGCCACGCTGAGCCAGCGCGGCGGCGAGTTGCCCCTTGGGACACCACCCGCCAACTATCTGTTGTGGCCTGGTTCGCCCGCGAGGGACTCACTAGGTTGATTTCGGCCCCGGCCGGGAAGCAGGCCGAGGTCTGTATCGTACTTGGAGTGCCTCGAAACCATGGTATGCGTGGTGCCTCTTGCGCAAGGTCTATAGCAGTAAAAAGATGTTCATCGCCGCCTATACGGCCTGATTGGGACCTATGTGGCAGGCCGGCGCGTGCACCGTGTGAGCTCCCTAATGCGTCCTGTCAAGGAAGTTTGACAGTTTTTTACCTTACGACCAATCCCCCTGGAGAAGAATGATCCCATTTCATGCCCCGTCGAGCGTGTACAAGGTTTGTGTTGCGCTCAAGGTTTCGATGTCTCTGCTACTTCGGATCCAGTCGTCGTCGTCGTGTTTCCGGACAACAACAATACTCGATCCCTCACGCCCACAAACCATGGGAGCAGGGCACCTGTTCTCGCCCCCATGATTCTACCCGTTCCGGGTAATGATGTATCGACACGAGAACTGCTGTCACTTGTTGGATCATTCTTCTTGGATAAGACTATACGTTTGATTTTGCTCTGCTGTTTGTTGCTCGGGCAAACCCGGTGCTTCGAGGCCTTCGTCGTCGTCTTGAGCCAAGCATGCGAGGGAGGAAAGAAGCGCTGGTACGCGTCAACACTGGAGCTGCAGCTGACCTTGTTGGACATCTGCAGGGCGTGCCGAAGTATTTCGATCTTGGACGTCTGTGTAGTCTAGATATTATTATCAGACTCCCACAAGCTTGAGGTCTCCTCGTGAAGTAGACACACACACAGACTCGGCCGAACACACCTATTTAGCTCGAAGGTTCGCATTACTGGTCGTGTGCCGGTCGTGCGGGCTCTGCGATTGACATGGGCACTTCCGATGAACGTTCTGCTGCGGAGAGCCGCCATCGAACGTCTGTGTAGTCTAGATATTATGATCAGACTCCTACAAGCTTGAGGTCTCCTCGTGAAGTAGCCACACACACAGACTCGGCCGAACACACCTATTTAGCTCGAAGGTTCGCATCTCTGGTCGTGTGCCGGTCGTGCGGGCTCTGCGATTGACATGGGCACTTCCGATGAACGTTCTGCTGCGGAGAGCCGCCATCGAGCTGTGGAATTCATCAGAATGTCGTCAGCTGCCAGGATATTGTGTACGGCTAGCTTAGGAGCAATGGTTTGGCCCCGAGGGCTATCACAGCTTGCGTTGTGCCGAGTTTTCGATGTTGCAATACAGGACGCCTCGTGGCCCACACGCCTGGAAGGTCTGGCATTAGTGAAGTTCCATCAGGCTAATGCCGGAGTCGTGTGGCCAGCGTTCCTGAAACAGCTATCGTTGGACGACTTCAATCAGCCTCCGGAGGGAGTCGTGTGGCCGGCGTCCCTGCAACAGCTATCGTTGGGGAACGACTTCAATCAGCCTATGGAGGGAGTCGTATTGCCGGCGTCCCTGCGACAGCTATCGTTCGGGACAACGTTCAATCAGCCTATTGCCGAAGTCCTGTGGCCAGCGTCCCTGCAACGGCTACAAGCTGGGCCAGCCAAGAAGCTCACTTTCGTTGTTTCGCCTCTCACGCTGCCGATTCCACGAGTTAAGGCTTGAAATATTGTGACTACTCTCAGAAGACAATAAAGGGTGCGGCGGTGCCAGAATTTTTCGAATCTGAGTTGATTTGGGTATTAGATGCTCAATTGGTGTAGTGGGGGATGCTTCCGGTACTGAAATCAGCATAAAATACGTTTTACAGATTCAGCCGAAATTTGGTGTGCACTTACCTGGGAGCATTGCGAAAACAACGATGGTAGTTACAAGGCTCAGGTCATCTTCCATCAAAAGTTATGGCCTCGTGAAGGATCCTCTACTACAACAACACTCAAGATACGAGGAAAAGTGAGGATATCGCGATTTCCGAGGCGGTTTTTACGAACTAGAACCTGAAATTTTGATGTGTGGTTGGTGAAGGTCTTATAAATGTCCCCGAGTCGGGTGCGGTGTTCTTGTTTTTTATGTCCACAACAACCACAAAATTGGGATTCTCAGTTAATGAATATCGGGATACCTCACGAAAAAAAAAAAAAACGCCGTGCTTGACAAGGGGACATTTGTAAGACCATTTCCAACCGTATATCGAATTTTTAGGTTCTACATCGTTCGTGAAAACCGCCTCGGAAATCGCTTGTTACCATTTTGTTAGCTTCTTGGCTGGCCCAGTTCGTATCGTTCGGGTGGGAATTCAATCAGCCTGATGCCGAAGTCGTGGCCGGCGTCCCTGAAACAGCTATCGCTCGGGTGGGACTTCAATCAGCCTATTGCCGAAGTCGTGTGGCTGGCGTCCTTGCAACAGCTATCGTTCGGGTCCTTTTTCAATCTGCCTGTTTCGGAATTCGTGTTCCCATCGTCCCTGCAACAGCTTGCGTTCGGGACGAGTTCAATCGGCGAGTGCGGGAGTCATGTGCCCGGCTTCCTTGGAAGAGCTGTCGTTTGGGTCGAAGTTCAATCAGCCCTTGCCCCGAGTCACGTGGCCAAGGTCTCTGCGACGACGCTTGATACGCGCCGGGGAGAGGCTGCTGTGAAGGGTCATTACAAGGAGTTTGCGGTCGCTTCCACATTCTAGGGGGGCGAACGGCTGGTCTGTGTGTGGATATTATATGGAGTAGCGTCCATGGCCCAAGCGTATCTTTTGGTTGCACAGTGCAGTATTCATGTTGTCGTACGGTGCGGAATTTGCGTGTGTTCGTTTCCTTGCAGCACACATGTCGAATATCATCTGTCAGGTTCCCCGTGTCGGATCTACATGCCACTGTCCTGCAAGTAGATAAAGGTTCGAGGATCTCGACGGGCGGGTCTGCTTGCCGAGTTTTGATTGATGTTGCCCAAGGGTGTAAATTTTTCATTTCAGACTCATATATTTATTGATTGCGCGAGATGAACAGCGAAGAACTACGTATCGCTTAGATACCAGCTGCGAGATGTTGTGAAGTAAAATGAAACAACAAGGTGCTGAAACACTCCTCGCGGGTCAGGCAACGGCTTGAAGAACAGTGTGTGCTTTCGGCAACTGCTGGCGTAGATGGACTGTTTTCAGATGCTGGTGCGACCTTCGATATTTCAGCTCCAGTAACAAACCTGAACGTGCTAGCACACAGGACGCCTCTTCATGGTGTCCTCAAGTGAACCTAGACACGCTGGGAAAGTTAGTATTTTTTGGTATTCCCCAATTGCAAATTGGGGTTTCAGCCAGCGCAGTCCCGAAAAAAGCAACAACGAAATATTGTCCGAAATTTCCCTACTTAGATCAAGTGTGACAGAAATCAATACTCAACTCAAGTGATTTGTGTATCTTACCCTACCCTCATAAGGCTCTCTTCACGATGTTTCAGCGACAACATCTTACCCTACCCTCGTAGGCCGCAAAAACATCGTCAACGACACCACCCCGTTCCAACGCTTGTAGATTGCGCTGGGGGCACACACGGAGTCAAAAGCTCATGAATTAATCAAGCTGATGATCCGGCTCTCCTCTCCCATTTCCCTCCGAATCCTGTTCACGTTGCGGCCCTCGTAAAACTTTTATTAAAAATACTTCACCGTCGTGGCCCGCGGGTGGACAAACAAAAACGAAGTTCACGTTCATTCCTCCACCTCGCCGCCGCCGCCACCGCCACCACCACCCATGAGTCGACTCTCCCTCTCGAAAACTGCTAGCACGCATGGGTTGTCCTCAGCCAGGCCCAGTTGCGATGCAATAGCGGCGAGCATCGCGCGCTCCATTACCCGCCTGAACCCGGCGTCGCCAGCACCTGCCGTGACTGAAAAAGCAAAAATACAACGAAAACGGAGGAGAGGGGGTCGAGGAAAACGCGTGAGCGGGATGTACCGTATCCTGTTTGCTAAATCTTCGCAGGCGTGGCGGTTGAAGCAAAGAGCGGGGTCATACTCAGGGAAAATAGAAAAAAAACACCCGCAACAGACCGGCGGCAAACGTTGGGAACATGCTCGGGACCCTACGAAAACGAATCAGCGAACATAAAAAAAAAAACATACACCCAACAGCTGATGCGGGCCTACTTCATAGAAGGGCACCACGGCGGGGCGGTCAACGAACAGGCGAGGTATGCCGATGGTGTACAACAGCCGCTCCCCGTGATCGATTGTTAACGAATGGCCCAGTGTGATCGATATCTGTCATGTACATCATGGAAATCTCAAAACAAGTCGACTAGGTCGACACCTTATCCACCGTATGGGGGACCCAGTGCGAGCGATTGCCTGGAGGGTGGGGTGAATCACTAGGGCGTTCGCGGTGCGGGAGATTTGTTATCTTTTGGGACCGCCTAGATGTCTCCGCTTGGCATCAGTTCGACGATACCGCAAAACCCGGCGCGAGGAACAAAACAAGTGTGGTCTCTACCGCTGCCGCTACCACCAGCGCCACAACCCGACACCCATTTTTCTGCCTTCCGGCGTGTCCTGCCGCTTGCTTGTCCAACTGTTCGTGTGGTCCTTCACCTGCCGCATCTCCAGCGCCCGCGCTAGCACCCGCACTAAGGTCAACACTGTCTGCGGCGCCGGCACCCGCAAACCCAGCTCCGCCAGCTCTGGAACGTCCCTCGCTGTCTGCGCCATGACCTGGGCCCGCCGCCATCGACCTACCGCCCGCCCCCTCCGTCCCTCCCGCTGTTGCCCGTTCTGCTGGCTCTGCTGAAGTCGTTGGTGGCGGAACCGTTGCAGGCGGTGGGTCCTGGAGGATGGCTCGCTTTGCCCGGCGGCTGGTCCCGCCAACGGCCGCCGCCGCAAGCCCGACCACCGCCGGCGAAATCGAAGGACAAGAAGACGGAGACGCGAACGATTTGGGTCTCTCGCGGTGGTTGCCACGTCTCCCCGCGCGCCCGGCACCCCAGCCCACCGTCGCGGAGGCGATGCTCTTCTCTCCCCGCCGCGTCGTCGTCCCCGCCGTCGTCGACTCTTGCTGCACCCCAACACCAGCCTCACCAGCAGGGGCGACAACACCAACCCTAGCATGACCACCAGCAGCTCCTCCTCCCGCCCCTGCACCACCGCTCCCTTCACCGCCGCCCGCGCCGGCGACGGAAGAAGATCCCCCAACACCGAAACCCCCCGCCACTGAACGGCCCAGAATAAGGCTCCCGCGTGAAAGCTTAGACCCCATCGAGCCCGAACGGCCCACCATGCCGAGAGAACGCGAAGATGGTCCGACGGAGGAGGGACCGCTGCTGCGTTGAAAATTCCCGCCGTTGCTGCCCCCGTCGATAACTCCCGTCGCCCACGAAGATAACGACGACGGCGATGACACCAATGACCCACCGCCGCCGGCACCGACGCCGCCGCCGCCGCCGCCGCCGCCGCCGGGAGGGCGAGGGCGGGGGCGGGGACGATTCATGCGTGCCCGCTGCTCTCTCGCGACCACCCGCCGCTCTTTTGCGCGAGCCCGCTGCTGCTGCCCGGCGTTCACGAGGGCCTGTTCGGCGGTGGACAGCGTTCGCCTCGGAGGCGACGGCGGGGCTGCCGCTGCAACCCCGGACCCGCCGCCGCTGTTGCCGCTGCCGCTCTTGTAGCCGGTTGTGCCGGAAGCCCGGGCGGTGGCGGCGGCACACCCCGACACGCCGCCAACACCGCGATCATTCTCGCCGTCACCATGACCACCGTCGTTGTGTTTCCTGGACCTTCCCTCGCCCCATTCCCCGCCCGACACACCAGCGGCCCCGCTGAGTGTAGGGGTAGGGGCCGCCTTGGAAGACGCGCTTGTGTAACCGTTGCGGCTACCAGACCCACCGGGAAACATCGCACGTCCGGAAGAAAAGGAAGTACCACGGCCGCCGCCGCCGCCGCCGTCCGGAAGGAGGCATTCTTCTGCCCAGAAACGACGCCGGAACCCGCCGTCCACGGCTGCGCTGGCTTCCCCGTCCCCCCAACCCCCGAAGGTCCCGTACAGAGCGAATGCGAGGGAAGAGAAAGGAAAAAAAAACGGCCCGTGGCCTTCATCGCCGCCCGGCACGCCGGTATCTCCTGGTAGCGGTCCGCGTTTCCGTCCTCTTCCCCCACATCGTCGTTTAACACCTGCTTCTTCTCCTTCGGCAGGATAACCGCGACAACTTCGCCCCTGGCAAGATGCCGTCGGGAGCTGAGCAGCCCATGCATCCATCACGGCATTTAGCGCGCTGTGTTCTTTTGCTGCTGCTGCTGCTGCTGCTGCTGCTGCTGACGCTTCCGGCTTCACCGCGGGCATCATCGTCATCTCGGACGGTTCAACTTTGGCCTCAAGCGGGAGTTCCACTCGCTTGCCTTCCTCTCCCTTGCACCCCGCGCCACGGCCGTTGCCTCCTCTGTAAGCACTACGCGCTTCGCTTGACGCCGACTCCTTCGTTCTCCGTCGCCGCCTGCCTTCTGCTGCCGCGGCCGCAGATTTCTCCTGCAGCTCCGAAAGTTGGTTGTTCATTTCTGCCACTGCCAATGCTCCCACGATGCGACTCGACCGCCGGCGACCGCCTCCTTCTCTGGGCGAAGACGACGACAAACACGATGCCTCCGCTCCAAGAGCCTCCTCTCCGGGTGCTCGGCGTTTGCTCGCGCGGGGGATAGTGCTGCCAACGACGGTTGGCGCAGCCGATCGCCGCCTCTTCCTGCTGCTGCTCCTGCTACTGGTGGAAGCACCGGCCGGTGTCAAAGGTGGCGGTGTCGTTGCGCCGTCTGGTTTGGCTGACAACGCTTCTTGCGGTGGAAAGAAAAGGCGAGACTGTTGAGAGATCAGAGAAGCAGGCGTGTAGACAGGTAGGGACGCCACGACGGAGGAAGTAGCCGGAGTCTCTCCCGTATCTTCCTTTTCCTCCACTGGATCCGATGGAGGGCTTGCATGACTCGGCCCCGTTGTCATCCGCATCAGCACTGAGCCTGAGCCTGAGCCTCCCCATGCAAGGCGAGAGACGAGACCGCTATCCATACAGCGGTCGCCGCCGGTCTCGCCGACGAGCGCCGACACCGCCACTTCGGAGAACTCCGACGCTTTTCGAAACAGCGTGACGCTCCACACCGGCGCCGTCTCGTCCCGGCCTTCGTCCTCCTCAACGGCCCCAACATCGGCATGTCCTCTGCTGCCGGCTAGCTCCCGAGGCAGGCGGCGATTACGGCGACGGTGGTGAGGAAAGCACGCCATCGCTAACCCTTCGTCCATGCCCCCCTTTCCCACTTCTGCCCGCCCACCGCGAACCCCGCCCGTAGCCTGCGCCGCCGCCGCTCCCGTGACCAAGAGTAGCCCTCGCCCGTCCACCGCCCACCTCCTCAAAAACTCGGCGCTCCCCCGGCACCTCTCGTCGTCTTCCACGAACAGCTCGAGGGCCGGCGCCAGGCCTCCGTCTGCGAGAAGGTGGCACGCGCGAGCCACCTCCACCGGCGAGATCACCCGCGCTAACCGCAGCGCCGGCGCGCGGCCGAGCGTGCTCGACGCCCCCCGCGCCACCGTGGCGGCAGGACCACCGCCAGCTGCTGCACCGCGAGGGGCGCCTTCTACTGGCGCCGAAGCCGAGGGAGCAACTGAGGCCGCCGCTAGTCGCAGGGCGAACCCATCCAAGGAGGGGAAAACCGGGATCGCGCGAGCTGGCTGCGGATGGTTTGAGTTATGGAGGGTAGCCGCCGAGTAGGAGGTGCCTGAGCTAGTCCGTGGAGGCACCTTGGCCGCTGTTGTTGTTGTTGTTGTTGTTGTTGTTGTTGTTGTTGTCGAGGGCGGCACCGATGCTGAGACTGGCGTTCTTGTCGCCCCGGCTACGACAGGCCCCCGCCACAATAGCCCGGCGTCTAGAACCGGCCCAGCCTCAATCGCTGCAGAAACGCCATGGCCGAGGAACACCCGAGCGCCCGTCGACTCGCACCAGGCTTTCCATTGCCGCTGCCACGCCCGGCACAACTCGCTCCCGCAGCCATTTTCATCCCTACAGCTGCTGCTGCTGCTGCTGCTGCTGCTGCTGCTGCTGCTGCCGTCGTCCTCCCCCGACCTGGGGGTTCGAACACATGCCGGGAAGATGGTGATACGGGACCGCGGAAAATGCGCTCGGGTCTCTAGCAAGGCTGAGCGGAGGGGGCCGGAACACGGCCGGTCGACCGGTTCGGATAGCGTCAAAGGCGGCGGCGGTGGCGGCGGCGGCATATCTGCCGACGCCGGTGCAGAAGCGGCCGTAAACGCCACGCCGTGCGAGTCCTGGCGTGCCGTTCGGGCCGTTGCTGTTTGTCGCTGCTCGCCACCGATTGCGGACGCGTCGTTGGCGCCGCCCCCTGGGGAAACGGTTTGGGTGAGATTCAGGGGAGGAAACACACAGAACGCAAACCACGCCCGCGGCCGGTCATTGCACTACATAGCAAACCTAGGGATACTAGCAGGGTTACATACGATACGCACACGTAAGATCGGATGGAGGTGGAGTAGCAGGTAAAAACGCCCCCACACAGAGGACCGGCTCCGTGTAAAATACAGTTAGGGGTGTCAAAGCGGAAAAATTCCTACAGGAAAGAAATTGAAAAAGCGTCCTCGGATCTTGCTGATGGAAAATCGACCAACAGATGAAATTGCACGGGACCGTCGGAATCTTCCGAGAAGACCCTCTGATGCGCACGCGCGAGGGCGCCGCTCGTGTGTGTGCTCTGATTATTCAACGGGTTTTCTCTTCCGCCTGGCGCTGTCCCGCCACCGCCGACTCCTTCTCTCGCCCAATGGCTTGCTTCTCCTGCTCGGCCCGCTGTCTCCGTGCCCGCTCCGACTTGAGCTCCTCGTCTTTCTCGTGCGCAAACTCCAGAGCCATGCTGCAACCAGCTTTGCCATGCTGCAACCAGCTTTGCTCTCCTCACTTTTCCTACTTTCGGCCAGCTCCTCCTTCGTTCTTTCCAGCGCTTTCTGCGCGGCGGGGATGCTGCCGCGCTCGATAGCGCGCCAGGTGTTGTCTGCTGCTGACGCCTCAGCCACAGACATCCCCGTCTTCTCTTCAATCTTAGTTTTGTTTTGATTCAGCTTTCGCGCAGCGCGCCTCCTGCTGCCGAACGGCGCGGATCTCGATTTTTTTTTTGGGAGGGTCTGCTGGTGTGGGCGCTGCAGCCCCACTGAAGGGGCCGTTTTCAGACATGTAGATCTCGTGGTTGGCTGATGCGATTCGGATGCGGTTTGTTGTGTGGTACAGCTGTAAACCCAAGGTAGAGGACTGTAAGGTCGCTTTCACGAGAAGAGCAAAGGTCGCCATGGGCGTGGAGCAAAGAGCCCAATAAAAACATGTTTTTTGGTGTTGTTCGTCCGCCCTTTAACTTTAAGGGAAAACCTACCTTACAGTCACCTCTATTGGACTTGTGTCCAGGTGTGTGTAACGCATGAAGAGCCATGCTGCTGTCTGGACGCAGAGCTGCCTGCACAACAAATTGATTTGATGTATAGCTTATTCAGTATTAACAGCGGGATTCTCAATAACCAAAAAAGAAACAAATCCGCGTGCCCCCCTCAAATTTTGACGAATGGACCCGACGTTTATTTGGCCCCAAATTCCGCCGCTTTGACACCCCTACCAGTATCATTATGAAATCAGGGAGGGGGTACCAGACCCTTTTCCCTAGACCTAACCCTAACACAACTTCCCCGATTGTATGCTTTATCCAACATGTTTCCTGTATACAAAAAACCTGCTCAGACTACTGCCACAAGATCCCGTGACCCGTCAACCCGAACGTCGTCCGTTGAGCGCCAACGCTACGGTATCTCTTGCTATGCCGTGCCGACTGATCTTGAGGCAGCAAACGGCGCTTCGACCGCGTCGAACATCACTACATACATAGGAGGAAGTGCCGCGGGTAAAGACAGCTAGGCGTGCCCCTCACCTTCAGCTGGAAAGGATGAAGCCGCCCACAACACGTCGAGCATGCACAGGCGGCGGCCGTCATGACCGCCGCCGGTCGCCGTCCCTCCCGATTCGCCGCCCCAACGGCGGGGCAGCAGAGCCGCCGGCGTGACCGTCTCCACCGTCGCCTGGCGAGTGAGCGAGGCTATCTCATCGGCCGCACTCCGGGCGAACGCCTCTTTGTCTGCGTACTCGACTGCCGCTCCTGCTGACGGACCTGTAGTACTGGCACCGAGGGGCGACGGCGATAACAGCGGCATCGGGCGTTCGACGGCACGAGTAGCACTCCCACGGCTACTACGGATAACGCTGGTAGAGTCGACGACGTCGGCCGGAGGTTGTCCACCGCCGAAATCTTCGAGCTGGCGGTCGATCAGGGCCCGGGTAGGGGCGAGGACGCGTGTCTCGAAGTCGGCGGGCTCGAGCCAGACTCCGCAGCCTTCGAGGGCCTCGGCGAACGCAAGGGCGAGGTGGAGGAGGCGGGATGATTCGCGCGAACGGCGTTGTCGCTGTGGTTCCTGTTCTTGTCGCTGCTGCTCGCTTCGATCGTCGCGGGAGGCGGCTATTGGTTCTTCGGCGGCGGCGGTTGATGCTTCTCCGGTAGCCTCCAGCGGCACGTCGGGGCAAGGAAACACTGCCGCCAGCAGGACTCTCCTCCCGCTACGGCTACCGCTCGCAGCCGCATCATCTCGCTCTGGCTCTCTTGCTGTTGTTGGCCCCATCGAAGGCGTGTCTTCTGCTGCTTTGAGAGGCTGCGTCAGCAATCCTGCCTTCGGAATTCCCCGACCCCCTTCACCACCGCAACCCTCTTCACTACCGGTGCTGCTGTTGGCGCCCTGGCCATGCCCCTGGACTTGCTGCTGATGGCAGAAGCGTGAGAGTTCTTCGATCACGCTGCGCAGGTGTCGCAGGTCGAGCGAGGCTTTTCGCGTCCTGGCGCCGCTACCGCCTTCGCCAGCATCGTGTTGCCTGCGGTCGAACCTCAGGTCGAGCAACGGCGCTGGCTCGGCCAGGAGGATGACACGCCTATCCATGCGTGTGGTGAGGGTGGTGGTGGGTGCTGACTGGTGCGCCGAAATTCAAATCTCAATCTTGCTTGTGTTTCTCGCGCTGCGGGCGGCGGAGCGGCACCGTGACTGCAGGAGAAAGCAAGGGTACCCTCTGTATAATATCCGCAGGTACCCAACAACCACAGTCACCATAGTTGGGGTGTCATTGACCGTCGAATCCTTTCACACCATCAACCCAAGGACAGACGGTGTTGTGCGCAGAGGATCGTGGAGCGTTGGAACAGAGCTGCCGTCCTCGAGGCGGTGTTGGTGTGGCCCCGCTGCAAGGCAAGTACCAAAAATGTCCCCTTGTCCCGCGAGTCCAAACGGTGTGCGCACACAACTGCCCTCCTCTATCGACAAAATGCGCTTTTTGCCTGCGTAACATGCATGCACGCGCGCACGCAGGTTGCGTGTCAGCAGACACGAAAGGCTTCATTCGCAGCACCGCCACCACAATAGGATCCTCGTCGAAGCGCACCCCGACGCGAGTTAGCTCATCCATTCCCCTCGGCCAAATCGAAAGAAAAAATGATTCCTCCTCTCACGTATTTAGCCTGTTGTATTGCACCTTGCGCCGCGGGTTGACTTGTTGCACCCTCTCACAGGACAGCAGTTCAACTGTGCTCTGACCCATGGGGTTCCTCGATGGCTTGTGCGACTCCCCGGATGGAGAGGCGGAGTTCTCCTGGCATGATTTCTGGCTCCTGGATAACGTCTGCTCCCTGACGACGCTAGGCGCCGTGGTAGCCGGCCTGGTCGCCCTGATGTCCTTCGTCGCTATGCTGGTGCAGTATGGCTGCAGCAGCAGCGGCGGCGGTTGCCGCGCCACGGGCTACGCCAACAAGCTGTGGAACAGCGTCAACGACGGCGGCGGGCGGGAGGAGACGAAAGGAAGCCACGCTGACGACTACGGCGGCGGAAACTTCGCCTCAAGCGCAGCCGAGCCGCTGCTTGCGGGGAACGACTCCTCCACAGCAGCAGGCGCGGGCGGGGATGGTGATGATATCGCCAACTCCTTCTTCGGCGTCATGGCGGCGACCACAGACGAGAACGACAACGAGGCCGGGAAGGTGGGGGGTGCGGGAGGCAAGAAGACGCCCAAGAAGGGCACCGGCCTCCACTGGCTCAAGCTCCTGCTGTACTGGACCCAGGCCGGGTACCACCTCAGCGTGGGAGCCTTCACCCTGGTCGACGACCGCGCTGACAACAACCCGTACAAGTGTGAGTTTACAATCGTATTGCTGGGCGGGGTGACATGTCGTAAGATACCACAACCCTTGGACTGCCGCTCAAAGTTCGATTTCCCCATACAAAGAAAGAGCGGCAGTGCAGAAATACTCGCTCGTCGTGAGAGCCCTCCGAAAATGATGGATCGTTTCACTTGAACACCCGGCTGTGCGATATCTGATGTCGCCGAATATTGCCTGTGTGTAGTTCTTCACTGCTGCGGACCCTTGTGCGTTCATGAACCGTAGAACTGCGAGTCCCCGTTGGAAAGACCGACTTTGCCGAGAAGAGAGATTTCGGAGAAGATGTCGGTCGGAAAGCTCTGCTGGGGTACTTTTGTGTGACCCCCCCCCTCCCGCTTTTGCGCTATCCCTGTCCCTCGTTGCGCTGCATTTATCGCGCCGATGTTGGCAGACGTGTCCTTCTCTATCCTAATCCTGGCGTGGACGGTTCATTGCTGCACCGAGTGCGTGCACCACGCCATGATGCGCAGGCGGCGCAACCCTGCATACCAGGTCAGCAGCAGGCAGAGATCGAAAAACAGCCTGCATCTACGTACGCATTTTTTTTCTTGAACAGTTCGCAGGCCCCGGTGGTGCAGGTCGGTGTTTTGACGGTTCCGTGACGACGGCACGCGATTGTTACAACCACGGAAAGAGTAGAGTGGATACTTCCGCGCAATCAACACCGTTTCGAAGCTTCATCCAACAGAGACAGAGGAACGCAGTGGTTTCGATGTTCTGCGGAGATCCTCGCATCCCCGACAGCCCTGTGGGACGGACAAGCACGTGGGGCTTTCACCCGAACAGGCCGGCGACGAGGGCAGGGGAGGGAGGGGGGGCGGCGTACTCTAATGTTTGGCATGCCTTAGCGGTTCAACCATTGACCACGCGTCCGCGAGAGGACGGAGCATTGTTCCCACAGGACCGATCACCGATGGCCAATCGTTCCTTTCTACTTTGC